CAACTCTGAGCTGCAGCTGTTTTCCTGCCCTTTTTTACTTTCAAACCGCAACCAAAACAAAAATGGCAGCCAAGCTGATTGCATGCCTCGTGCGCTGTATCCCTTGAGTTTTGATGGCATCCTCCAGAATGCAGCTTGGTTGGCTTTTCGGACGCTCCCAACTGTTTAAAGCAATGACCGGATAATGAATCGGGCTTTGTACTCTCAGCTAACCATGATGGTGGGGATGGGCCAGCTTTCCATGCGGTTAAGCCTGTGTTAAAAATATGGTGGGGTGGTGGGAAGCAACGTTTTGGCCTGCTAGATTATACCTACAAGGTCCCTCTCTCCTCCGATGTCTTTGGCAAAGAGGGCTTCCCTCTTTCACCCCCTTTTCGCCCCCTCTTTCCCCGTAGCTGAGGGAGGGGTCCGTGGGGAGAGAGGGAGAATTCCTCAAGTGCTCCGCATGAGGAGTGACTGGCGCTCACAATAATCTTCTTTTCCAAAGAAGAAAGCTTGAACCTACATCCTCCTGCCACCCACCATTTTCCCACATGCACTGATAGGTTCCCCTTTTGAACCTTTGCGCGCAGTCAGTTTTACAGTTCCCAACGCTCAACGCCGCGTTTCTGATTGCCATAACATCGGCCAGAAGCACCTCTGAGCTCTCTCCTCTAGAGAGGACTTGTGCGTATTTCACCAGGACAGAGTTGTCCGAAGGTTGACACCACAGGGTGCAGGAGGTCATCCTGCTGGACTTCTGCCTGGCCCCTTCTCGGGATAGGGAACGTCTCTGGCACAGACTGGACGTTCGTTGTGCACTCTGCATCTACCTGCGGCGCACGGTGTCCGTACGCAGGTCAGAGGCGCTGTTGGTTTCCTTCCAACCAGTGCCGCTGGGAGAGAGGGTCACCCCCTCAACTGTTGGTTGCTGGTTGAAGGCCACAACCATTAAAGCGTACGAGGCTAAGGGTCTCCCTCCACCTCAGGGAATCACGGCGGACTCCACACGGAGCACCGCCACCGTAGCAGCTTTGGCGACCAGGGCTCCCTTCGAGGATATCTGCAGAGTGGCCACCTTTTTGGGTGGCCGAACTTGCCGCTGAGAACACAAAGCGTGTATTTCTCTCTCTCTCTCTCTCTCTCTCTCTCTCTCTCTCTCTCTCTCTCTCTCTC